TGATTTTAAACTTTTTAAGTTTACACCATAAAAAATGGACTATTTTTATTCACAAAAACATTTCAATGGTAGCTTTGGTCAATGCGGTCTGCAAACATTTTTTTTCAAGGGAAATATTTTTTTATAGTTCAGATATTTATAAGGGAAAATTTGCTATATAATTGGCGAAAGATTTGATATGCAAGGATGGAGTAAAATTTTGTCCAAAGTCACAAGTAGGGAGTTTGGTTTCTTTTAATGGGAATCAAGCTAAAATGATAGATTTGCCCATAGATAGTTTTGCATGAATTTAGGACCTCAATTGGCCACGTTATGTCCGTAGACAGTTTTGTAAAGTTTTGACCAATGCAACTGTGTCGGATAGGAGATTATTTGAAATAATTTTTTCAAAAAAAAAAAAATAGTGTAGCACTTTTCAATGAAAATATATTCCATTTTGGCCGATGTGACTCTGTTTGGATAGGAGATTATTTGGGATAAATTTTTTAAAAAATAGTGCAGCACTTTTCTAATGTGATGTCTGTGTGATAAAAAAGTGATTAAAAATATATATATTATACAAACAGATAAATTTGTGTAAATAATTTACTATCCAAACTAATTCATTGTGAGGGCCCGAGTTAGATATGTATCCATATCAACATTAATCCAGCAATCAATATATAAAAACTGAACCGTCATGTTGTACTGCATTAAACACGTAGGAAGACAACATTAATTTCTTGCTTGCATGCTTTGCTAGATTTCAAATTTTTCTTTCATATTGTTGATTATGTACCACATATATATAGTATCGATAGGGGTAGCTCTTGAGAGGACCACAGCGAAAGAACCTTTTTCTTTGTTAAATATATCAACTTTTGCGAATTTCCGTTGATGGTTTTAATCTTCCACGTAAATTTCTATACAAAAAGCAGTACATGTCGCTCGTGAATTAGTACTTTAGGTTTGAGTATTCAGCATATGGGTGCACCAAACTCAATAAAAAATAGTTGTCAAGTATGTTAAAATTCCATTAAATTTTTGGAGGAGTTTGTTTGTAGAGTTTGATGTCAGTAGTTTGTCTTTTGGATTTTAATTTAGATTGATATTGATATTCTACGCTTTCTAATGGGATTGAAAATCATTTAAAGTTTGTATTTTTTATATGTTTTGTTGAAGGAGAATATTATTTTAATACGACACTTTAAATACTTAATATCTCTATTATTTGTAGTAGTCACGAGAAAAAACTTTGCGACTAAATATCACAAAAAACAACATGCAACGTACGCTCTCTTATACTAGTTAAAATATAGGACAAAAGAACATGGTTTTTATTTAGTACTCTAAGTTTGGGTTCAAAATATTTTTGGACGTGTTCTGAAATCACCATTGCCTGGAATACAGCATGTACGTGATCCCCTTGATAATCAAATTCAGTGAAGAAGTAATTGATTTTCTTTAAATGAACTATTAGAGGCCTATGTGGTAAACAAGCTTTTGATCAAATTTGCCTGTTACAAATTTTTTAACAACTTTAACTATAATAACTTAAAAAAAAAATTCAAAGTTTTTAACTATATACTTTAAAATATTCAAAAAATTTTCCTACAACTTTTACAGTAATTTACAATAAAATTTTAGACAAATGTCCAAAAAACTCATTTGTCAATCAAGCCTAGATTCTTTTGTTAAAGAATAAGAGACTCAACAAACATCTTAGTTAAGAGACTTGGTAAACATCTTAGTTATGCACAGTTTCTTTTCTTCTCGCTAGATTCCTTCTTTTTCTCCTTCGAATAGTGACTTAAATTGACATTAACATCACCGTACACCCCGAAACTGACTATACATACCTTGCTTCCATCGAATTTTGCGACCGGGCCATCCTTAATTATTGTGCTTCCACAGAATTTTGGGACCAGACCATCCTTTGTGCTTCCTGGTCCATCCTAAACTAATGTGCATCAACAGAATATTGGGACTAGTCCTTTGTAAATTATTGGAAGCCAGTCCTTCCTATGCGTTCCACGTTTTATTACAATGTCCATGCAAAATTAGTTACGTTTTGATTTCCTCAATTTGTTCTCCGCTAGCAAGCCTTTCATTCATGATGCGCATCCATTATTCGGCCTCTGTGGATATGAGGCTGTCAGCCATCAGTCATCATCGTTCATTGCATGGAATGGTGCTTTTCAATGAACATATTTTCTTAGGTGTGATAGAGTTTATTGTACAATTAATCAGTTTTGGTAGCTCTTTAGTAATTTGACAATGGTGCTACCAGCTAGCTTGACTTCTCTTGCTTTTGTCAATAATAACTATGTTGACAAGTGATCAAGTCTTAGATAATTTGGGTACTATAATTCCACTGCTATGTTTGATATACAGAAGTAGAAGACATACAGCTTGGTAAAATGAAGTTGAATAGTGGTGCTAACTCAAATTCTTTTGCCCATAAAATTAATAGGCTCATAAAATTGGGAGCTTGCATCGGAATCTGGATTTGATCAGCGCTGCTTGGTTAATTGTTTGGTAGTGAATGTTTCAAAAAAGATGTTAATGAACAAGATCTACCTCTATTTATCGACAACATTTTACATTTTGTCCAAGCAGGACCCGACCTTATTGAAGTGTCAAAACGTGAATGTTTCAATACCCATTCCGATTGTGTAGTGCTAGAAATTGTGAAATTGCCTTCATCAGTTGCAAGTTTGGGTGTTTGTTTAGGCTGAGAAATGTTGTTCTAGGCCTGCTCACGAGCTTGCTCAAATGTACTAGCCTTATTGCTCATACTGAATTCTGGTAGAATAACCCAGATTGGTCACAAAACAATTCAGCTCAAGGATTTCTATGCAAAAGCAATTGTTGCCAGACAATTAGCGGCCCCAGTAGGTTTTCACAGTACAGTTGTCCCTATCCTCTGTTTGTTTTTGGCCTAAACTTAAAAAATCGTTAGCTCTTCTTCACTTAGTGGCCCTAATAGGTATTCATAGTAAAATCACGTACGTTCGTTCCCATCATCTGTTTATTTTATGTCAAAATTTAAGGAAAAAAAAATCGTTGTCTCTTGTTCAATTTAAGGGTGCCCACATTTTATTAAAATTGACATTCCCCAGCAAAATAATTTTTGTTCTTAAATCTGCCTTTACAGTTTGGTGGATTGTAGAATCTGCTATCTAAAATAGGATTTTGCCCCCTAAATTTTGTAGCCACTTGAGAAAGAATCCTTGCAGTCATCTGTTAGAATATGATACAAACATCTCATAATGGTCATTATTTAGTCTCTTTAGTAAGAAGAAATATTTGCATTGTTTCCTTGTGTGGTCAGTGCTCTTGGATGTATGTTTATACCGATTCTTTATTCCTTGTCTACGGTTGTTGAGTTAATTTGTTCGAAATACAACATCATTAAGGAAGAATATTCTAAAATAATTCCAGTTTTTTTACCCTATTATTGTTGTTTTTATGTCACCAATTGCTTTGTTTTCAACCTTTTTCGCGCAGCAACAATTTCCCAATTGGGAGTGTTTGGATACCAAAATTATTCCAAATAATATTTCGCTTACATCACAAACAAATTTCCCAACCTACATTTTTATATTCTCAATCACCTTTTTATCTCACATACATCATATCACAAAAAGTGCTACAGTAATTATTCCAAATAATATTTTAAATAATACACTATCCAAACAAAATTGTGCATGAACAAAATAATATTTTTTTTAGCCATGAACAAAATTGTAAAGAAAGCTTGGCGGAGGCACAACTTAAGCTATATAGGTGCATGATTCGGTTTTGCTAATTTAAATATAACGCCTAAAGTCAGGAGGTGAATTTCAATAAATATATTTTTTCATTCAATGTAGGTTAGCCATTAACGTCTTGGCTTGTTGGTGGAAACGAATAAAGCTTGAGGCACTAGTATTCAAAACCTTTTGTTGATTAATGTTATTCCTCTTCCATTTTTGTAGTGATGGACGCCAAAGTAATACACTTGTACGTTTGTCTTTTTTAGGATGGAAACAATCAAGATATATCTATATGAGCCTCTTGTATTCAGACATTTGATACAATGAAAACTTGTATCTAGTATTCTGAAGAAGCACGGAACTTCCCCGGGCCGAACTGACCTGATGAGCTCGGGGTGCTGATGGAAGAGCTGATTCCAAGCCTACAAGATAAATAGGAGGGTAAACTGGAAGGGGCCCCGAGGTGGTCCCCGAGGGCACTCCGACGGTCAAGTTAGTTTTCCGGTGAGAGGGGAGTGTACTAACAGAAAAGCAGTCGGGAGTGAATTGCCAATAGTGAGCGTACCTTGTACAGTTGGTATGTGTTACCATTTATACCCGCTTAGGAGTCCGACCTCCGTACGTTCCGGGACTTGCCCTGGATAGCTCCCAATCCCCCGCTGAGGGGGATTCTCCTCGCCCTCTGCGGGGTAGCTCTCGGGAGCCTCCCGGAGCCCTAGTCGCCGTGCGCCCTGGGCTGGTTCCCCATGGGCCCGGGGTGCAAGCCCAACTCGGATCAACCCTGGGCTGCCACGTGTACAGCCCCAGGACGGGGCCTCTGCACTAGCCCCCTAGATTAGGTCAGGCTCCCAGGCAGACCTGATCTATCCCCTTGCCACGTGGAAGCCCCTCATCCCACTGCTCTGCCGCGGTCACCTCCGGTGCAGTGCTGACATTGGGAAGTGGCGTCCGCGTCCTTTCAGCTGTCGCGTCCCTTCGGTCTCTGTACCTCTATTAAATGTGTTCACATGGGACGGTTCAAATTCAAGCAACCGTTTTCCCCCCATTTCGTTCCCTATAAATAGGGGTTGCCAAATTTCAGTTGACTGTATTTGCCATTTTCTCCTTTCCTCGTGCATTTCCCAATTCCCAGTAGCGCATTTCCGGCCAACAGCACCCAGATTCCGGCGACTTCTCCATCCCTTTCTTCACTCCGATCACCAGTAAGTCCTTTCCCTTCTTCTTTCGCATTTCCTTTCCTCCATTTGCCACCCTTTGCATTTTATGTCGGGTCACTCCGACGTCACTTCCTCCGCATCCCAGACTCCGGTCCGTCGTAGAGCCACCAGAATCTTCATTTCCTCTTCGTCCTCGTCTTCATCTTCATCTTCGTCTTCATCATCTCCCCCTCCTCCTCCTCCTTCATCCTCTGCTTCCAATCCCAATTTTTTCATTCCTGACTTGCTTGAGCCTATTGACATCATGAGCTATTCGTCTGCTCATTCTCCTTCCGCCCGACTCCTGGAGGAGGCGGCCGAGCTTGATGCCTACATCCGGCAGCAAGCCGCTTCTGTTCCATCCCCCGAGTCCCCACATGACTCCCCTGGCGGAGCCCAGGGGGGAGTTGGGGAGGACAGGGACTCCTCAGAGGGGACCCCTGCTGCCGAGCAGGGGGATGACCCTGAGTTCAACTACAGTAACCCCGACCGGGAGGAGACCACCCTCTCGCCCGGGGCGGTGGCCGAGCTGGCCGCGTCGTTCTCCATTCCTCCGGCCTTCAAGCCGCGAGCTGCCGGGCCCACCGACCGGGCCTGCCGACCTCCCTCAGGCTTTGTAGCCATCTACAAAGAGTAACTGGTCGCGGGGCTTCGACTCCCCATTCCTCCGGCCATGGCCGAGATCCTGAGTTTCTGGGGGCTCAGGATCACCCAGGTCCACCCTAACTCGATCAGGATCATCATCGGGTTCCTGATTTACTGCCAGATCTGCTCCATCCCCTATTCTCTCTCTCTCTTCCGTGCTACCTACGCCCTCAAGGCTTCTCTCCCTGGGTGGTACTACTTCTGCCGCCGCTCCCCAGCAATCGCGGCGGGAAGGGCGCCCAGGATCTCCTCTACGGGGTCCCCTCTTCCGTGAAGAATTGGAAGGGGGACTTCTTTTTTGTTAAAAACATGCAATTTCCTCCTACTGCGTGGAAGGTTGGGGGGTCGGGGACGACCCCTGCCCGGAGGACCTGGACCCTGAGGCCTTCGGCCAGCTGCTGGGCTCTGCGGCGAAATTGTACGCAGCCAAGTTCTCCACTGAGCAGATTTCCGCAGTCGGGCTATTGGGGAAGCTGTCCGGGTCCCTCGGAGGGGTAGAGTTCTCTCCCGCCAACCGAGATACCTGTAATACTGCTCCTGTTCCCTTGTTATATGCTGCCTTTTCCCTTGTATTTCTCTGACTTGTAGCACTAATCCGGTGATGTTCTCTGCAGTGAAAAGGCTATCCAGACTACTGGGCGCGCCGACTGAGGAGGTCGCCTCCACCACACAGCCTGAGGCAGCAAAGAAGGCCCCTGAGGCCTCTGCGACTCCTGGGGGTAGCTCGATCCCCCAGAAGGAGGCCTCCCAGACTCAGTCCCCCTCCAAGCAGGTCCCCGCCAAAAAGAAGGCCACGGAGCAGAAGAGGGGGCGAGATGACGACCCTTCCCAACCTGCGAAGAAGCCTGCGCAGGGCCCAACACAGCGCCCTCTCCAGCTGACGTCTGGGGGCCCTGTCCACCTGGGGATAGGCTCCGCGGAGGAGCACGCCCAGGAGAGCGCCCCTCCGAGCTTGTGGCACTTCCGCCACGTGGCCCCCACGAAGCCGGGGCAGGCCCCCACGATGCACGATCTCCGGCACTTCTGCCCGTCCTGGGAGCTCTCCATCAATGACCGAGCCCAATTCCCCGAGGTGGCTCGCGAGCTGGTCACGGGCTCAGTCCTTCCACGCGACAAGAAATGGATGGAGCTGGCCAGCCCGTCCGAGCTTCAGGACATGTACTATACCGTCCAGGCCCAAGTAAGCCCTCTCCTTCTTAGGCCCCTTGGGTCCCTGTTTCTTTTTTCCGAATGGGGCTAGCAATATGCTAACTCTTACTCTCCTCTCTCCAGGCCAACGCCGCCGGTACTGCCCTGGTGACCCGCTTCTCCGAGCTGTCTCCCGACTTGGAGAAGATGCAAAAGAAGAATCGGGAGGCCGAGCAGAAGCTGGCCAAGGCCCATAAGGAGGTAGACTCCCTTAAGGCCAAGTTGGGCAAGGCTGAGAAGGAGCTAGAGGACTCCCAGGTCCAGCTCGCCTCCACACGGTCCGAGCTGGACCAAGAGAAGAAGGGCGTGGCGAAACTGAAGGAGGAGCACGCCGTTGAGCTCTCTGGCACCGTCAGCCGGGAGCGCAAGAAGGCTGTCCGGGACTTCATCTCCTCCGACCAGTTCGTCGAGGACATGGCCTGCCTCAACCAGCCCATCTTCCAGGTCGGCACAAGGTGAAGGGCCTCAACCCACCCGGCTTCAACTTGGCGGATTTCAAGGAGTACAATCCTGCGGCCGAAGAGAAGCTGGACTGGCTCTTCGATGGGTACCGCAAGGGGCATGCCCTGAAGGACCTGATGGGAAGGAGCGACGTGGGGGCCGAGCTGGCGGAGCTTCCCCTGGAGGAGGAAGAGACTCCTGGCAGGGCTTCCGGGAAGAAGCCTGTGGGCTAGGGCAGCGGCCACTCCAGAAACCCTTTCCGTCTCCTTATAAGGATGTGACCATGTTCCAGTTGAAAATGCTCTTGAAGGTCCATCTGAGACGGAAAGGCTCCCCAGATCCTTTTTAACAGCCTTCTCCACCCAACCCCCAACATGCTTAAGGTGCACCTTCAGCTCATACCTCTCAACATGCTTAAAGTGCACCTTCAGCTCATACCTCTCAACATGCTTAAGGTGTACCTTCAGCTCCTATCTCTCAACATGATTAAGGTGTACCTTCAACTCCTACTATCTCCAGCAGGAAGAAGGCGTAGCTAGGCCCTTTCCTTGTATAGCTCGGTAGGCTTTGTAATAGATAGGTTGGGAGTTTTGTAATAGATATGCTTTGAATGCATATATGAGATGAAGTTTTTAAATGAAACTGTCTGATTTATCTTTCCATTCCCTGCTAACGGCAAACTCTAGTCGCCGGAAAATAACGGTCGAGCATCGAGCCGTAAGGTTTCTGAGTTGTGCCGATCTCCTGGGAAGTTCCAGAGGAGGTCCTGCCGACCTCTTGGGTCGAGCATCACATCTCAGATCTCGAAGGCTTTCCGCCGCCGACCTCCTGGGTCGAGCGCCCAAACATTTGCAAAGGTAATCATGCTAACCTCCCGGATCGAGCACCACGCCGTCCTACCCGGGCAACGTGCCAGCCTCTTGGGGCTGAACACCAAATCCTTAAGGATTTTTCCCGCTGACCTCCTGGGTCGAACGTCCGACTTTGAAGGTGTTCGTGCCGACCTCCCGGATCGAGCATTGAACCTCGAATCCCATCAGACCAAAAATAGTAGACCAAAAATAGTCCGCTCCATGCCGACCTCTCGTGGCCGAGCGTCGTGGTCTCAGACTCCCCAGCTTTGACCCTTGCCGACCTCTTGGGGTCGAGCATTCACCTGGGAGTTTTAATCAGTGCCGACCTCTCGGGGTCGAGCATCGCACCTTGCCATGGCGCCCGCCGAACCCCTGGGTCGAGCGTGAAATTTTCAGAATCCTTCAAAGTTTTCCCGTCGTGCCGACCTCCTGGGTCGAGCGTGGAATTTCCAGGATCTTCAGAGCTCCCCAGTCGTGCCGACCTCTTGGGGTCAAACACTCCCGCATCCATTACTAACCCCTAGCCCCCCACTAGGACATTTAGTGAGGGAACGCTAAGTGTGCTAGTGTAAGATTAAAACTCAAAAGACTAACGAGTACAAATGAAATTAAAACTTGAAAGTCGAGCCTTTATTGAATGATGAAACTGAAATTTAAATTCCAAAGAATAGGCAACCGAACACCCTGGTCTAACCTACGCTACAAACATTGCAGATTGGAGAAGTGCCAAGTGCGGGGTACCTCTGATCCATCTATTTTCGCGAGCTTGCAGTAGCCAGCTCGGCTTGCTTCTAGGACCAGATACGGGCCTTCCCAGTTGGGGTCGAGCTTGTTGGAGCCATGTGCCCGGCTGACCGAGTTCTTCCTTAGAACAAGGTCCCCTGGCTGGTACTGTATGGTCCTCACTTTGGCGTTATGATAGCGGGCGAGCTGGCTCTTGTACTTAGCCATCCGGACCGCCGCTTCCTCACGCTTAGCCTCCAGCATGTCCAAGTTGTACCTCAGCTCTTCCTCGTTGGTTGTCGCAACGAAATTCTGTGTCCGAGACGAGGGGAAACCAATCTCCGCGGGTACCACCGCCTCTACTCCGTAAGTCAGAGAGAACGGGGTCTCGTGGGTGGCCGTCCTGGGCGTAGTGCGGTAAGCCCAGAGGACGCTAGATAGTTCGTCCAACCAGTTAGACTGGGCTAGCTCCAACCTAGTCTTTAACCCCTGCAGAATTGTTCGGTTAACGTTCTCCACCTGACTGTTGGCCTGGGGGTGTCCGACCGAGGTGAAGTGCTGGTTAATCCCTAACTCGGCGCACCAGTTTTTGAAGGGATTTTCAGCAAACTGTCCCCCGTTGTCGGATATTAGGACATGCGGGATTCCAAAGCGGCAGACTATGCTTTTCCAGAAGAACTTCTGAATTGCTCTGTCGGAGATAGTGGCCAGGGGTTCGGCTTCCATCCACTTTGTGAAATAGTCGATGGCCACCACGAGGTGTTCGTACCTGCCCGCAGCTCGGGGGAAGGGACCCAAGAGGTCTATCCCCCACTGGGCGAAAGGCCAAGGACTGTGGATGGGGACCATCTCCTGGTTGGGTTGGTGGCGCAGCGGGGCATGCACCTGGCATGCTCGGTATTTTTGAACCAGAGCAGCCGCATACTTTTCTGCTTTACCACCTCTACCAGAACTTCCTTGTTCAGGTGCGCAAACGAGGAGGATGCCAGCTTTGACAGGACGTCTGCACGCTTGTTCTGCGATCTAGGCACCCGCTCGATCTCAAATGTATTAAACAAGGCTGTCGCCTCCTGTACCTTGGCCAGATATTTCTTCATGATCTCCTCCTTGGCCTCGTATTTCCCGCGAACTTGGAGGACGACGAGTTGAGGGTCGCTCCGAACTTTGATGGCGGTCACACCCATCTGGTGGGCTATCCGCAATCCTGTGAGCAGGGCCTCGTACTCGGCTTCATTGTTGGACGCGGGGAAGTCGAATCGGAGGGCATATGTCAGCTCCTCCCCGGTTGGCGAGATAAGCAGCAGGCCAGCTCCGCTTCCTTCCTTGCTCGAGGCTCCGTCCACGAATAGCACCCACGGCTGCCCAGGTACAGGCGGAGAGCTCAGTCCGCCCGTGGACGAACTAGCCCCTTCAGCGAGGAAGTCGGCCAAAGCCTGTGCCTTAATAGCAGTGCGGGGTCTATAGCCGATGTCGTGCTCGGCCAACTCGACGGCCCACTTGGTCATCCTGCCCGAGACCTCGGGCTTGGTGAGTATCTGCCGCAGAGGCTGATCGGTCATGACGACAATGCTGTGGGCCTGGAAATAAGGTCGAAACTTACGAGCAGCGTGCACCAAGGCCAGGACCAGCTTTTCAGCTGGCGTGTACCGCGTTTCCGGACCTTGTAAGGCGCGGCTAACATAATATATTGGCCTCTGAGCCCCCCCTGTCTTCTCGCACCAGAACCGCGCTGACGGCCTCGTTGCAGGTGGACAAGTACAGGAACAAGGTTTCTCCCTGTTCCGGGGCGGTCAGGGTGGGCAACTCGACCAAATACGCCTTTAGGTCGGTAAAGGCCTTTTCGCACTCCTCGGTCCACTGAAAGTCCTTGGGCGCTTTCAGGATTCGGAAGAAGGGGAGCCCACTCACCGCGGAACGCGATAAGAATCTGTTCAGGGCTGCCATCCTCCCCGTGAGTCGCTGGACCTCCTTCACATTCCGTGGAGGGGCCATGTCCATGATGGCCTGGAGTTTTTCGGGGTTTGCCCGGATTCCTTCTCGGGAGACCAAGAAACCGAGGAACCGGCCCGACCTAACTCCGAAGGTGCACTTCTTTGGGTTCAGCCGCATCCGGCTCTCCCGCAGGATGTCCAAGATCTCCCTTAGGTCCGGAACGAGCCGATGGTCGGTTCGGCTTTTGACGATCATGTCGTCCACGTAGACCTCCATGCTTTTGCCGATCTGATTTTGGAACAACTTGTTGACCAGGCGCTGGTAGGTGGCTCCAGCGTTTTTCAGCCCAAAGGGCATGGTCCGGTAGCAGTAGGTTCCCTCCTCAGTGATGAAGGAAGTCTTCTCCCGGTCCTCCTCAGCCATCTCTATCTGGTGTATCCCGTAAAAGCATCCAGGAAATACAAAACGTCAAAACCAACAGTAGCATCTACTAACCTGTCGATTCTCGGCAAGGGGAAGCAGTCCTTCGGGCAGGCTTTATTGAGATCTGTAAAGTCGACGCACATCCTCCAGGACTGGTCCTCCTTCTTTACCAGAACAGGGATGGCCAGCCAGGTCGGGTAGTAGACCTCCATGATGATTGTGGATTCCAGCAGCTTTCCGACCTCCTTCCTGATCACCTCATTTCTCTCTGGAGCGAAGTTCCTCTTCTTCTGCTTCACTGGCTTGAAGCGAGGGTCTATGTTGAGGTGGTGGACGGCCAGGTCGGTCGGAATCCCGGGCATGTTTTCTACCGTCCAAGCGAAAACCTGTGCGTACTCCCTCAGGAGGGCCTTCAAGTCATCCTTCTCTTTGGGCCGTAGCGACGCTCCGATGCGGATTACCTGGTCAGGCCTGTCCTCCTTCAGTGGGAACTCCTCGATCTTATCCTGAGTGCCCAGCTGCCGAGCCTCTTCCCCTGGAATATAGGGTTCCAAGCTGGTCGTCTGAGCGACCACCTTCTCGTGTCCCCGGAGCAAGATTAGGTAACAAGTTCGGGCCACCTCCAGATCTCCATGCACCTCGGCTATTCCTCCCGAGGTGGGGAATTTGACGCTAAGGTGGAGTTTGGAGGGAATAGCTCGGAGGGCGTTCAAAGCAGGCCGACCCAGGAACACATTGTAAGAGGACTGTTGCTTGACCACCACGAAATTGACGGGTATGGTCCGGTACTTGGGGGCTTGCCCTACCGTGACCATCAGGGTTATCATTCCCTCCGGGTTGATAGGTGGTCCGGTGAAACCCACCAGGGGTGTTTGAATCGGGGTCAGCTGTCCGTCCTTCAAACCGAGCTCCTTGAACACCCGATAAAACATAATGTCGACCGCACTCCCTTGGTCGACGTACACCTTCTTCACCCGATAGTTGTTGGTCACAACATCGATGACGATGGCCTCATGGTTCCCTGATGTTAGGGGAACCGCGTCCCTCAGCCCGAAGGTGATCTCCTCGTTTATGCGCAGGCGCTTTAGGGAGTTGTCCCCCTCCGGGGGACGTCGCTTGTTCTTCCGAGCTGCATGGCTGTCCCCCCCGTAGGACCGCCGGCAATGGTGATTATCACCCCTGCCAAGTTCTGGGCGTCCTGGTCGGGGGAGTAACCCCGGGGTGCGTCGCGCCGATCAGGTCGGTCACGACGCTGGCCCTCGCCTCTTTCTCCACGGTAGGTGCGTCCCGACTCCTGGCCTGGGCGACCTTGCTTTACAAATCGCCCCAGGAAACCGCGTTGGACAAGATCTTCGATTTCCTTCTTTAGGGCCTAGCACCCCTCAGTGTCGTGCCCAACGTCCCTGTGGAAGGCACAGTACCGGTCTTGGTTCCTTTTATTCCGAGATGTCCCCATTTTAGGCGGCCGGTCTCCCAGGCCCTCCGCCTCCATGACAGCCAGGATCTGGGCCCTGGGCCGAGTCAGGGGGGTATAGCCTTTCTCCGGGATCGGCGGCGGAGCAGGGGCTTTTTCCTTCGAGAGCCGGTCAAACACATTTTTCTTGGCCGGGGCATCCTTACATTCGGCGGGGTTTCCCCGCCCCCTCCGATCTCCGAGCTCCCGGTCTGACTCTCGTTTCAGGCGGCCGGCCTCCTCTGCGTTGGCGGCGGCGTGAGCCCGGGTCAAGAGTTCTCGCAGATTCTTGGGGGGCTGTTCGACAAGCTTGTAGTAGAGCTCCTCTACCCTCAACCCGTTCATGAAGGCAGCCATGACCACCTTTTCATTCTTGTCCCTGATCTGCAGGCTTTCTGTATTGAAGCGCGTCATGAAATTCTTCAGAGACTCGTCCGGCTTCTGCTTGATGGCTATCAGATGAGCTGCGTTCTTCGAGTAAGTCTTCGAGGAGACGAACTGGGCGGCGAACTGTCTGGCCAGCTCGGTGAAACTCCGGATAGACCCCGGTGCTAGGCCTTGGAACCAGAGCCGGGCCTTACCCTTCAGAAACATGGGGAAAGTCTTGCAACGGAGTGCATCCGCGGCGGTTTGAAGACGCATGTGTGTCAGGAAGACCGAGAGGTGGTCTTCCAGGTCAGTCGAACCATCGTACAGCTCGATGTTCGAGATTTTAAACCTCCGAGGTAACGGGTAGTCTTTTACCTCTCAGGTGAAGGGCGAGGCTGCGTAGTTGTCCTCGTACAGTTGTGGTCGCAGGATCTGTTCGAGCTCATCCCGGACGAGCTGCCATTGGGGAGGGTCCCGCGGCCGGCTCTTGATAGACCGGGTAGGGGAGCGCTCCGGCTCGTTCCGCGCAAGCTTCCACTAGGAGGGATTCTTCAGTCGGCCCCCAGCGGACCGGTTGCGAGAATATCTCTTACTGTCCCCGACCACCGAGGCCCGCGGCCTGGGAGGAGTCCACGGCCGTTTCCTCCTAGGGGGCTGGTCCCGGGACTCGTCCTCCGAGGGAATGGGGAGCGACTCCCTCTCCTTCCCCTTCGCTTTAGAGGTCTGCGCACCCCCGGCCTCACTCCCCTCCTTCGCCTGCCGGATTATGTCCTCCAGCATGGAGAGATTCTCGGTTACAAACTGATAGATCTGCTGTTTTCGTTCCCCTGAAAGGGTCGAGCCCCCGCCGCCACGGGCTGCCTCGGTCTCCAACCGCCGGGATCCCTCACCGGTTCCGGGATCAGTGTTATCCATGGTTCGCTTGGAACGCATTCTCGCCATCAACACAAATACTCGTATCTTCGTTCCCACAGACGGCGCCAACTGAAGAAGTACGGAACTTCCCCGGACCGAACTGACCTGATGAGCTCGGGGTGCTGATGGAAGAGCTGATTCCAAGCCTGCAAGATAAATAGGAGGGTAAACTGGCAGGGGCCCCGAGGTGGTCCCCGAGGGCACTCCGACGGTCAAGTTAGTTTTCCGGTGAGAGGGGAGTGTACTAACAGAAAAGCATTCGGGAGTGAATTGCCAATAGTGAGCGTACCTTGTACAGTTGGTATGTGTTACCATTTATACCCGCTTAGGAGTCCGACCTCCGTACGTTCCGGGACTTGCCCTGGATAGCTCCCAATCCCCCGCTGAGGGGGATTCTCCCCGCCCTCTGCGGGGTAGCTCTCGGGAGCCTCCCGGAGCCCTAGTCGCCGTGCGCCCTGGGCTGGTTCCCCATGGGCCCGGGGTGCAAGCCCAACTCGGATCAACCCTGGGCTGCCACGTGTACAGGCCCAGGACGGGGCCTCTGCATATTCAAAATTATTTTTTTTTCCTCCCTCTCTTTTGGTAACAATGGATGTGAAGTTTTACATGCACAGGAGATCGATTTTCAGAAGATTATATAATGGGTCTTGTGGACGGACAAAAGAAGCATCCCCAGCTAGCAGTGCCTGCAAATTTGAAAATTCACAAGAGCATCCCCAGTTCGGCTGTGAAATGAGGACGGAACCAATCATACTCATTCACAAGATCTCTAGACGGTCATTAAGAATCAAAGAAGCTGATAGCTTTTACTTTTCTTGTGATTGCTTCTTGTTGGTGCCTCTGCATCTCTCTCCCAAGCAAGCCCACACAAATACACTAAGATATGATCAAACAATAACTCTTGAGACCCTATAACCATTATTAAGTTTAATCTTATTTAATATTCGATTGCTAATTTATTCTTGGATAAAGTTTGTACATACTGACAGTGCATACACAAGTGGAACAGGATGCATGATAGCTTATCACAATTTAAATTTAAATATTTTATTTTACAAATATGATATATATATATATCTAACCCCACTTGTGTGTATACTGTTAATGTATATAAAATTTATTTTTTTTTCTTATAATTGGTATTATTTTCTAGTACTATTAAGCTGAACTGGCTCAATGATTTGCGGTGGTCATAGAAAGAGGAGGAATCGCAAAGGTGCAAGCCTCAAGAAAACCTACCAGCAGAAGCTGATGCATTAATAATAGAGGCAAAGCCAAATGGAGCTGAGGATGACCAATTGCCCTCCCGACTTTGAGAAATTTTTATTTTAGGCATGGAGCTTTTGAAAATTTTTAAGTTGTCCTTTTTTGCACCCTTGAAATATTTAAAATTCTCATTCTTATCAAAGTTGCCCCTAATATTTTTGAAATTCTCTTTCTTGTCTATATTGTCCCCTCTAAAATTTTTTAAAGTCTCTTTCTTATTTTGACTTGGGACTTGGACTTTTATTTATGGGGTGCTCGTTTTTTTGAACTTTTGTGTTCTATCAAAGTCCAACAACTACAGCTAATTCTTTGCTACTATAATTAAGTTGGTTGATGGGCTTTTTCTTTTTTGTCAAATTAAAAGGAACCTTAGTTGGTTCAACTTAAAAACAAAATGACTAATCCAACTAGAAACTAAAGTAACACTCTTCCTCTTCTAAGAATCGTCACCTCCAGCAGTCGCTCTACAAGTTCTACCCATTTCCTCTTTTTTTCTCCTCTTCTCTTCTATCCTCTTTTTTTACACTATTGGTGGTGAAAACGATAATGAAGTTATGCTCAATAGATAAAGAAACACACTTGTTTTTCCCTTCCACTTCTACCTTTAGTTTTCATATCCATGATTTTTTCTACCATTTCATTGCACTTAATTTTACAAATCCTATCAGATTTCTTTTGGAGTTGGGAAAGTTAAACTCTTCTTTGTTCAATTTTAGATATTGGATAGATTTGTTCATAATTTTGTTGATTCTTTATTTTTTTAGGAAATACTTTTTCTTTTATTTGGTAGATGAATTGGAGGGTACTAGACCAGTAAATCTTCCCTAGATGACATTACAAAATTTAGGATTTTTGTGTTGATTTTACACACACTACAAGAATTTTGGTCATCAGTGATAACTACTTTTCGTCACAAATAATCAAAAAGTCGTCACTGATGACCATTATTGACAACATTTCAGTTGTCGCAAGGTCGTCACTGAATCTCCGTCGGTAA